CCTCCATCCCCTCTGCACTCAACACGGCCCCCATCCCCTCCGCACTCAACACAACCTCCATCCCCTCCACACTCAACACGGCCTCCATTCCCGCACTGAGCACGTTTCCCACCGGGTGGGCAGGATGTGGCACAGAGCTCCTCGGACCTGGGCGGGGAGGACCCCACCTGCCCAGGCCTCTCCCGTGCGCTGGCAGTTGGCTGGGCCAAGGCTAGTGCTTGCTCAGAGCAGCTGCATTGGAACAGACCCCAGTTTCCAGGAGGAGACACGCTAAGCGTTAGGTCCCGTTCACTTGGATTATAAACGCCAGCCCAGGGACGGGAACTGAGCTAACCCTCAGCCCTGAGCTGAGCAGGTCTCCGTGGAGGTCCGACAGGGGCACCCGGCTTGAGCTCAGCTCCACTCAGCCCCGAGCGACGCACACGCAGAACCCTAGTCCCCAAAGTATGTTAGGATGGTAGTGCTCAGCAAAAGACTGCACTTCCCAGACTCCCTTGCAACCAGGGGTGACCATGTGACCAAATCCTGGCCAATGACCTATGAATAGAAGTATGGGCATTTGGGCCCTGTTCTTAAGGGGAAAAACGATTGCCCCCCACTTTCTCGTCTCTGCTTCCACTGGTTGGAACGCAGTTGTGATGGCGGGAGCTGGAGTTGCCATCCTGGGCCACGTGAGAGAAGGAGACGCCCTAGGAACAGCAGAGCGACCAGCTCGTGGGAGCCCTGATGGCGGATCCCTGACACTGGGCTGCCACGTCAACCTCCACCTGCCACGTGGAAATCTCCTTCTCGCTTATGGAAGCCTCCAGTCTTTCGGCCTTTGCCTCAGCAGCAGGGCCCGCATCCTAACTGCCCCGGAAGGGCTTGCGGGGGACGGAGAGGCAGCGTTGGGAAGCACCTGGGGGATTCCTATCAGACATCACATTTTCCTGCTTCCTCTTTTAACCTGGAGGAGGCGTCCCTCAGGGTGCCGGTGGAAGGCAGCCCCCAGGGACCAAAGGACACAGCTGCAGGGATCAGGGTGGGCTCTCCGCCCCTCTGGCTTCCCCGGGCGTTTGTGAGACCCCAGAGCTGAAGACCACGAGCCCTGCCTCGCAGCGGCCGGGGCAGAGGCTGCAGGTCCGAGCTCCCCTCGCCGCCGAGAAGACAGCGTTTTGATTAAACCACTGACAACTCTGCTGTGGGGCAGAGAAATTGGGAAACATCGGGAAGTCACACTGTGAAGCCTTTGAAGGAATGTGATTTATGTGGAAATGTAATGAAGCTAATGTGTTTGGCTCCAGCGCGGGTGGCACGCCTGCTTCTGGAACCGAATCTGACGTCTTCCTGGCTCGCGGCGCCTCTGCTTCCCCAGCACCCGGCCGTGCCCTGCCTGTGCCTGGCCGGGTCAGCACCGAGAGCTCCCATCCCCCCACTTCCGGGCCCTGTCCCAGGCTGCGTGTCTGTGACCGGAGCCACGCACACACGTGCATTCTACATGTCTGCGCGGTGCTGGGCTCCCGCCCCAAACCCCAGAGAACCCAGGTTATGAGCTTTATGGGGGTTTGCTGTAGTTTTACATGATTTGCTCGATGCACCGCAGACTCGAGCAGGCCTTGGGGTCCCTCCAGGTAAACTCCAGAGGCCCGGTGTCTACCCTGGAGTTCATGGAGCTTAACCCCCTTGTCCATCGGGAGGGGACGCAGCCTGAGCCCCGAGGCCCCAGGCCACCTGGCTCAAGGTTCCTGGTGGCAGCAGCAATATCAGGGGCAAGCTGGTCGGAGCCCCTGAGGCCGTACAGACCCCTCTGTCACTCCTGATCCCCATCCCCGAACTTGGGATGACGGGGGGGTCCCCCGATCTGAGCACTGTGGGACTCTCAGGATTAGCGGGCTACTACAGTGTACCTGGATTTAGCTTGGACCCTCCCAGAGATGGGGCCCTCACTCCCCTGGGAAGGCATTTCCGCTGCTCCCTGTACATGGCGCCCAGCGGCTTCTTCTCCACAGCCCCCTCCCGAGGCACATGGGCTCTGAGGGACCCGCTCACCGGCTCTGAGTCTGGTTCTCTTGAGCCCAGGTGTCCAAGGGGGCAGGAGAGGCCATGGAGCCCCACTAGTGGCCGCCGGGAGCCACGGCCCATGGAAATGGGGTGGCAGCCGAGGCCCAGCTTTCTGGACTCACCGGAGCTTTGCACTCGGTGGTTCGCACCCGACAGATGCTTCGGAACGCACCGCCGTGCCGGCACCGTGAAAGCCAGCTCGGCCGCATGGTCCCTGCGCCTCCCAGTCAGGGCGCGAGGCCTCCTGTCCAGGAGCAGAGGGCGAGGGCGAGGCACCCAGCTCCGGGCAGCGCTCCTGGATCCCCAGGCCTCCCCCCAACTCCTGCCTGTCACCAGGGGGCAGCGGTCCCCGCTCTTTGGGCTCTGCTCCTCTTTCCTGTTGCTTTGTGCCTCTGAGCCTCGCCTGCCTCACCTGTCACATAGGCCCGACATTCTGTCCCTGCCTGTCGCACAGGGTGCGTGAGGATCAAGGGAAAGCGGGGTCACTGTGTCACTGCCATCCGAGGGGAAGGGGCTCCCACACCTGGTCCCCAAGGCCACGGAGGGCCTCCTGACCTGCCCGGATGCCACTGGCCTGGGCCCCGGGACAGGACCTGGGCGGGCGGCCGCGGCTACTCACACATGGGCTTCAGCTGCCCGATGAGCTCCTCCTTGGTCCATTTCGCCCACTCCTTCTTGTCGGTGTTGATGGAGCAGAGGATGGGGCCGCAGGGCTTGCCGCAGTCCTCAATGGCCGGGACGTTGAGATAGTGCACCAGGACGATGTCGGGGTTCTGGGGGGAGAGCACAGAGACTGGCAGCATGAGGTGGCATGGAGTCCATCCAGGCCCCCCCACCCCCCGCGAGCAGGCACAGACCGGCCGAGTGTCCGCACGCCCGGCTTCCTCATACTCGGGGCCGCTGACACGCACTGTCGGGGGAACGCCCTGTGCCCAGCAGCAGCCCTGGCGCCTGCCTGCCCGATGCCTTACCCCCAGCCTACAGGTGCCACTAGAACCGGTGCCAGACACCGCCCAGCGTCCCCGGGGGGCACAACCACCCCAGCGGAGAACCGCCGCTCTACACGCGGTGCAACGAAGGGCCACACACGCGGTCAGACCCATCTATACCCCACACCCCGGACCTTAGGCCTCACGCCAACAGCTTCCCCTGGGGCACTGGGCACGCCGGTGCCCCACCCCCGTCCTCACCACAGCACGACCTCCCGACACAGGAATCTCCGCCACCTCTTCCCACAGGGAAACGGGGTACCCAGGTTGAAGGCGCCCTGCGTGTAAGGGTGGGTCCCTCTCCCTTTGCAAACAGTCCCGTCAGCAGGGCCCTTCCAAGCGACACCCAGGCGGCCGTCACTCACTCCCCTGGGAGCTCGTAACAGGAAGAACGCTCCCGTGGGAACCCTGAAGGCACCGCTGGTCCCCAGATGGGTCGGCGCCGTCCCCCAGACTCAGTTCAAAATGCCCTCGGCCCCCCACCCCCCCTGCCCGCCACCAGCTCTGACAGTGATGTGCCCAGGCCCCTCGGGGCGGCAGCTTCGTTGTGCAGAGCTCTCGCCCTCCGGGGCTTCTCGTGGCCCCCAGAAGGCCAGGCCGGTTTCGTTTGTAAAAAGCAATCACGTCGCTTTATAACGCAGCTGGAAAGACCCAGAAAAACCTCCCCAGTCAGGGAACATGAGGTAACATCGAGATGCTGCTACAGACAAGCCAGCCGCAAGGCCCCTTCCATCGCTCTTTCCCGGAGCTGTGGCCTCTGCGTTTCCTGCCTGACCCCCGGCCACGAGTTCCCCCGAGGCCCGTGGCTCGAGGACCCCGCTGAGGAGGCTGCGTCTGCAGTCACCCCTTCGGATCTGGTCGGAGCCACGCGATGAGTGACTGTGGGGTCAATCAACGCGTTAGCAAGGGCTCGAGATGACACGTGACCAGGGCAAGAACATCGACCGGCGCCATTTAAGAAGCTTTTCAGTAAGGGTTTTTCCTTGCCAACGCTCAGTTACCCAGCAGATCACATCAGCACGACCAGGAGCCGCCCCGAACGGCAGTTCTTCTGGACGGCAGCACTCATGCTCCTTAATAGTGATGAGGACCTGACATCGGCGCACACGCACTGCGGTCTGAGCACTGTCGGCGTCATCTCGCTTGGTGCCAGCGCTAGCCAGCGTGGGGCGGGCAGGGCAGGGTACCCTGTGTCTACAATGAGGGGACTGAGCCCAGAGAAGCTGTGACCTGCCTGAAGCTGTGTGTCTGGCCAGGGACGGAGCCTGGGCCGGAAGCCAGCATTCTGACTCCCAATTCAGGTCCTGCCAAGACACCTGCTGGCCTGTCTCGCTTGGTCTCGGCACTTTCCCGCCTCAACTTCCCTGCATCCTTGCCTTGTGCCCCAGAGTGAGGTGGGCTGCAGACCTGGTCTCCTCATTGCACGGGTGAGGTGGCCCAGGACCGGGGGGCGGGGTATACCTGAGTCCCTGCCCTGTGTTCTTCCTGGGACCAGCAGACGGCCTCCCAGCCTGTGCTGGGCTGGGGGCTCCTGCTTGAGCTGTGCCTGGGCAGGTGGCAGCACCAGCTGCTGAGCAAGACGAGGAAGGATCAAAGGGCTGCAGGGCCAGCGGGCCGTCCGCCCGGGGCTGCCTCTGATCCTGGCCCTGGAGCAGGAGCTGGGTCCTTCCTGCGGGGGACACTGGATGGATGTCAGCCGCCCGGGAGATGAAAGACCTGCAGCCTCCTGCCCCAGAGCCCTAAGGAGCACCCAGCAAAGGCTGTGGGAGACCAAGGCGGTAGGACAGGCATGGGAGCCAAGGAGGGCCGCCTTCACCACACACCGAAACCCCAAACCAGGAATTCCTGCACTGGAGCACCCGAACTCTCCTATGTCAGAAAGCGCTGCCCCTCCCTTCAGTGCCCAGCTCCGTGTTTGCATAACTGGCCTCCACCTATTCTTTGAGGACAAGCACCACGCTCGCCTCTTCCTCCAGGAAGTACTCCCTGATACCCCGCCCTCTGTATCAGGATGGAGACGGGGTTTGTATCTTAGTCAGTACGCCTCCTTTATCTCCTCAGCCACGGGGGAAGGCCCGGAGCTGTCATGGCATCAGCAATGACCGCCGTTCACCTCCATCAGCGGAATTGAGCTAGACTGATGTTGGACTTCCCGCCCTTCCCTTTCCATGCTTGCGTGCCGCTGGCATCTGGCTTCAGTTTTCTAGTCTGTGAGGGGCACAGCACTCCTAGGAGGCTGGGAGGCAGGGCTGGCTCTAACCTCGGCCGGGTCTGAGGCCGCTGAGAATTCGATGGAGGCTGCGGCTACTCCATCTCTCAGCCCCGGAAAACGCCCCAAGGGACAGCGACGCCACCTGTTAGGAGCTCACAGACCGGGGGTCCGGGCCCCACACCTGTAACTATGGACTTGGGGGTCTAGCTCTCCTTCTGAGCCTTTTGAATCAGGCACCAGGCCCTTCCCGGAGCCCCGCTCAGGGCTGAGCCTCTCAGCGGCCTTGACACAGTTGGGAGGAAGCGTGTCCCCTGCAGGTGCTGGGACTGCTTGGGGTTAGGAAGCTGGGAAGCCGGCTTCATGGTCTCCATTGTAACCACAGATCCTGCCCCAGGGCTTGGGTTCCTGCAGCTCCAAGTCCCCGGTGGAATCTTAAGTACCGACTTCCCGGTTTGGGGCTGGTTTGGAGACAGTGTGATCGAGGTACGTTTGGATGTTTGGGGCACATGTCGCTTCTTGGCAACGCTGCAATCTCATCCATTAGTTGTGCATTTTATTGGGTGTTTTTGGCAGAAAAATATATTAGCCATGGAGTCCCAGTGGGTCCCGGCCCACGGGACCCCTCCCCCAGGCCTCTGACACCAGGCCAGGCCTCGTGGGCTTTCGGGGGGTGTCATCCTCCAAGGTCATGCTCTCTTCGGGTGGTGACCTCTGGCATCTTCATGGAAACCCCGTATGCAGGGAGGAGCCTGTGGACATGCTCTTGTCCCGCCCCCACCCACGGCCTGTCCTGGGGGCTGACCTCCAGGCTGCTGGGCTGGAGAGCATGGAGTCCCTTGTGCCGCCTAACCCCACACCAAGCAAAATGGATTTCCCCCGAGGGAACGGCCAGAGCTAAGCTTCCGGCCGCGGTTCACCCACTCACAACGCAGACGCTCTCTGCACAGCCCTGTGTGTCCCGATCCTCCTCTCACTGCATGTGGCCCCGTCACGGCCGGGTCCGGGGGACCTGGCCCTGGTGCCCTTGCCCAGCGTCCTGGCCGTAGCTGCTCTGCTCCCAGGAATCCTGGCGCTCTCTCCACAGCCCGCCCTCTGCCCCGCCCAGGCTCACGGCCCCCTGTCCCATTGTCCACTCACAGCTCCTGTTGGGGCCTCATGAACACCCCTGGTTTCAAGGCCAGGCCAGATGGCCAGCCCCAGGCTCTACCCCACGGGGAATGGCACCGCCTCCCCCTATCGTCCAGGTCGGACCCTCCGAGTCACCCTCACTGCTTGTCCCTCCCTCTCTCTCCCGACCCATCACCATCATGGCATTCTCCCTGCCCCACCCATGTCCGCCCTGACAGCCTGAGTGTGAGCCCATCTCCGCCTGGGTCTCCCCTCCCCACTCCCAGTCAGTTCTCCCAACCCCAGCAGGTGTGACCCCAGAAGTCCGGCAATGGCGAGTGAGACCCACACCCCTGATAGGGTTACAGGAACCACCACCGGTTTTCTCTCCAGGCACCAGCACTCCCCGAGGCTCCGAGGCGGCTGCCACCCCATCCCCCACACCTGCTGTGCTCCCCGTTCTCTGTTCTCTCCGGCTGAGGTGCTCCGTGCCACGTGTCAGGGTAAGTCTCAATGCCACCTCCCCTGGCTCCCCATTCAGCGGTTCCCCAGGCACAGCGCCCCTCCCGCCCCACCAGGCCTGCTCTGTCCAACAGCTTCGCTGCCCTGCCGGCTCTCACGTCTGAGCGTTTCCTGCTTGCCTTCCCACCCAGAGCCTGAGCTCTGATGGCCGGGCTCTGCCCACGGTGCGTTCCGAGCCCAGAGCAGGGGCGGCACGAAGCGGGCACTCTGGCTCACCTGCCGAATGCTGAGGGTGGGGGACAGCCAGCTGCCCCAGGGCCCGGGCCACCAGCCTGTCCGGGCGCTGACCTGGGCTGGGGAGGTGGTGCCAGGCAGCGACTCCTCCCTGCTGACTCAGCTCTCAGGACCCCCCTCACCTCCTGCCCCTGCTCCCTCCAGGTGTGTCTTCCTGGGGGACAGACAGACGGAAGAAGAGGGGAGGAGGGGCATGGGAGGAGGAGGTGTCCACCCAGCACCTGAGGGGCCCAGGAGCCCCTTAAGCCATCGCCCTCTCGCCTTTCTGTCTGGAAACGTGAGGTTTGAATGTGCTGACCGAGGCCCAGGCTGCCGGGACCTTCGGGCCGGGACCCCTTGGGGACCTTCAGGTGCTGGGAAGGTACCTCCAGGAACCCAACTTAGTCACGCCCTAACACACCGCTTCCAGGGAGCGCCTGTCACCCATCCTGACCCGTGGGGACAAAGCCCCTCAGGAGGACAGGCCGAGGACCCTGACACCCAAACGCACAGGAGAGGCTAAGCATGTTCTGCAGAGCAAACGCTCAGCCCAAGTCCACCAGCTCCTTCACTGCAGGACTTGTCAGAGCCTTGATGACTCCTATGAAGGAAGGTCTCTCCATGTGCACAGGAAGGCTGAGCGCCTCTTGAGACCTTAGTGTTCTCTGGAACACAGTCTGGGAATCACGGGTAGAATTCAAAGCCAAAGGAAGCACCATCAGCAGTTACT